GTGTTTTATTATGAGGACACAAACCCCATAGTAGTGAAATGACTGGCCTATGGCCACATAAATAGTAGGAAACCAAGCTGAGATTTGAACCCAGGTGCTCTAAATACAAATTCATCAATGGAGATAATTTCCTTGATTCTGGACTTACGCTTAGTTAGACTCAGAAAGCTTGAAAAATATATTTTCTTCAGCATTTTGTTTGCTTTTTGCAGTAGCCTTTGCTAAGATAATTAACTTTATTTTGGCTTATTAATATAGTAAGCAGTTACGTACTCTCAAAAAAAGTCTAATAATTGCTTTTCACTATTCCTTGTAATCCAAACCACATTCATAGGATGACCTATCTGGAGCTCAAATGGGCATCTAATCCAACCACCTCCTTTTACAAGGAAGGTTAAATGACTTACTCAATGTTACACAGGTAGTAAATGTGAAATCCAGGATTTGAACTTGGGTCCTGTGACTCCAACTTAAATACTCTTTCCACTGCACCCCACTGCCTCCTATGATATTCCAGAGAAGGATTTAGACTTGGAAGGGACTTTAAAGAAAGAAGATGTCATGGCAAACATAAATAAATAAAGATACCATTAAGCTTTTCTTTTTTTCCCCCAATGTTCCTCCAGGATTCCCTGGTAAGGTGAGCATGTAAGACTTTAGATCTTTAATCTTTGTTCATTGCAAGTTAAAATGCATGTAATTTTGTTTTATCCTTTCCTCAATTAGTTCTCCCAGGAGTCAATAAAATGGGTTACAGGTTTCGGAAAGAAGCAGACATCTTGTAGGTCATAGTGTTCCTCTAATAGGGAGATAAATTTGCATTTTTAATTAACACTGCATCAAAAAAAATATCATGAAAACAGGATGATTTATCAAGGGCTTTACTCTGCATGCTGGTACAGGACTTCATTGCTCTGAATCCCTCACCAGTGTTAGTATGATGAGCATTTAAAAATGACAAAAGAGCTTGTGAAACATGAAAAAAAAGGGTACACACAGTTGTACTTGAATACACTTGAAATATTTCCCATGACTGCCACTCCAGTGTAAGAATTATGTTTATCATTGTAACAATTATCCCTTCTATGTGCCAAACCCCCATCTGCATGAGACAAAGGAGGAGACTCATGTTTTTATGTGTTCCATGAATGTCAGAGAATAATTGTTTGAGGTTACTGAACTTTAGGCATCCCATTATCTCTTTAAACCAATTGGGATTTTAGGGAAAATTCAAATTTTGAAATGCATTTTAAAATTCCAGATACATTTGTTGTTTTTAAATGTGCCTTCCTCCTACCCCCCCCCCCCAATATTTACTGGTATTCAGAAGCTTTTGAGCACCGACATATACTAAGCATATGCTGTGTAACAGTTCTTGCCCTCAACTAGCATACACTCTTTATAAACTTTTAAGAATGCATACAACTCTTGTTAAAAGATATTTGTGTGCTAAAATATTTGAAAGTATATAAGCAACAATGGTTGCTATAATTTTGGCCTGATAATTAAGACCAAGAAAACAAAGGTTCTCCACTAGCTAGCACCACACCATCCATACATGGAACCACGGGTTACAGCAAGTGGAGAAATATTGAATGCTGTGGATAAGTTCACTTATCTTGACAGTATATTTTCCAGGGATGTACATATTGATGATGAGGCTGATGCACACATTGCCAGAGTTAGCTCAGTGCTTGGGAGTTTCTGAAGGAAAGTGTGGGAGAGAAGAGGTATTAGGCTGCCTACCAAACTCAAGGTCTACAGAGTGGTTGTGTTGACCTCATTGTTGTATACCTGTGAAGCCTGGATAGTCTACCAGTGCTATACCAGGAAACTGAACAGCTTCCATTCGAATTGTCTTAGGAAAATTCTGAAGATCGCCTGGCAAGATAATGTACTGGATACCGAGGTCTCTTCTTGAGCTGAACTGCAGGCAAGCATTCAAACTCTCCTGCAAAGTGCAATTCTGATGGACTGGCCACATTGTTTGAATACCAAATATACCTTTGCCTAAAACACTATTTTATGGAGAACTCACACAAGGTAAGTGTTCACACAGAGGTCAGAAAAAGTGATACAAGGACACTCTCAAGGTCTCTCTGAAGAACTTTGGAAATGATTGTGAGATGTGGGAGACATTGGCACAGAACTGCCCAGCATGGCTTGCCCATATTATGTGCTCCATGAGCAAAGCAGAATTGCAATAACTCAAAAGAAATGTGAGATGTGCAAATTTAGAGACAACTCCACTCCAAATGTTTATATGGACTATTTGTGCCCAACCTGTGGTAGAGCCTTCTGAGTTTATATTGGTCTGATCAGCCACAGTCAGAGGCACTGTAGTTTGACCCCAGCGTGGTGATGTCATTTTGGTTCTCTTCGAGCACTAAGGACAACTTATTTTTACAAAGCACTTTGGAAATATTATCTCATTTGATCCTCATAAGAACCCTGGGAGGTAGGCACTGCCATTATTGTTTGAAATTTTATTTTTATTTTTTTACAGATGAGGAAACTGAAGCAAGCATAGGTTAAGTGATTTTCCCAGGGTCAAAGAGTTAGTGTCTGAAGCTGGATTTGAATTCGAGTTTTCCTTATTCCAGGTCCATCACTTGATCCACTTCACCACTTAGCTGCCTCTAGTAGCAGAGATAGGACTATAGCCCAGTTTAGGTACTCCTCCCTCCCACCCCCAATTACATCGTGAATATGATGAGAATGGCTGCATAGTATATAGACTGTGACTAAAACACACAAATGCACAATATGTACATAACAGTGTAGTTGAAAATTTCAAGACTTTCACTTCATTTCTCTTATCTGCAGATACAACAGAGGATGGTGCAAACCAAAGAGTCAGAAAACCTGCATTCAGACTGGTTTTTATCATTTAATCTCCCTTAGTTTCTTTATCTGTGTGGTGAGGAAGTAGGTCTAGATGCCCTCTCAGGTACCTTCCCTCTCCAAGGCTATGACTGTAGGAACATGTACTTCCCTAACCATTTATGAGAGTGCTTTGTAATCTCATGACTGCTGAGTACTGTGTGAATTATTACTTATGAAGCATGATATATTCAATACTACACACACATACACACACACAAGCAAACACATTTATTTGTCTAGATTGCATATAGTGGATAGAGGGCTCACTTGCAAGTCACTAAGACCTGGGTTCAAGTCTCCCTTTTGAAACTTATCAGCTATCTGATCACAGGAAAGTTAAATTATTTAAATTTCTCGAGCCTCAGGCAAATTCTATAAGACTAAACTATAGGTATGCCTGTGATCCATTTGGTGGAAGGAGTTCACTATCTTGAGATAGTTTCCATCTTTTTTCTTTTTTGCTTTTGACCAATCAAGCCTTATTAAAAGTGTTTTTGTTTGTTCTGGGATAATTGGATCAAAACTGGAAGGAATTTTAGAGATAATATAGTCAAATAATTACAAAGTTGGAAAGGACCTCCGAATCGAGTCCAGCCCTAAACTGAACAATAAACTCATTTATAATTTCCCCAAGAAGTGGTCATTATTTAACTACAGCTGAAAGACCTCCAATGAGGAACCACCTGAGGCAGTCCATTTTACTTTTTGGACAGCTCTAATTGTTTGGATGCTTTTCCTCACATGGAGCCAATTATGTGCCTCCCTTCAACTTGGACCCATTGGTCCTAGCTCTACCTTCTGGCGCCAACCAGACACCCCCTTATTTTCCAGGCGGGGATATTGAGGCCCAAGCTGGTGAACTGAGTTGCACTCAAGTCATCCAACTAGTTCTTGGTAGGACTGAAACTGGAACCAAGGTGTCCTAAATTTCGGTCTTTTTGAGGCATCACAGTGCTTCCATCCTGAGCACCTAAGTTTAATGGAGAAGAAAGCACTTTGTAAACATTAAAGTAACAAATAAATGCAAGTTATTATAGCCCAAGGTCTTTCCGGTCTTTAGTGGGGGCTGGAATTGAACCCAGACCTTCAAATTTCAGATGCAGGGTTTTCCTTCCAGCACGATGCTGCTTCGACATCACGTTCACTCCCCTTCAGACCATTGAAATTTCTCCACTTCTTAAAAAAAAAAAAAGAAAAAAAGTAAAACAAACAAGAAAAGAAGACAAAAAAACTAGGTTCAGTAACCAAGTAGTGTCTCTCTTCTGACTAGTTTCCCCGTCTCCCTACGTGCATGTGAGTGTGTGAACGGAGAGAGGGAGACACAAGCTCAGCCTTTGAATTAGCCAACCGGGTGACCAGGCACTACCCGCCCCTTTGCCCCCCTCCCACCTCCCTCCCCTTTTCATTCCTCTCTCGCTCCCTCCCTCCCTTCCTCCCCCTTCTCCTCCTCCTCCCTCCCCCTCCCCCCTCCGGCTCTCGCACTCAGGAAGCGGCTGGCTGCTGGCCCTCACAACTAACTCTCTCTTTTACTTTCTCCCTCCCTCTTCCTCGTCCTTGCGATCCCCAAGTCCACGCAGCCTTGATAGGACCGGCACAGAGTAGAGAGCACCGCTGTCGCTGCTGCAAGCTTCCCCCTCTTCCCAACTCCTCCCCATCCTCGGTAGCGGAGGAGCCTTGTACCCCTTCCCCTTGCCACAAACCAACTCCCCTCCCACCCCCCACTCCCGCAATCATTGGGTATCACCCGCCAGCCCACAGCCAGACCAACCAAATCCTGGCTAACTTTCCCTCCGTGGACAGGGATGAGCAGAACAGGCCAGGCGCAGTGAAATGGAAACTCAACTTTAGTATATATTTTTTAATTTAATTTTTTTTTTTTTTTTTTTGCGGGAGAAGAATGAGCTGATGCCCAGGGGGCATCTCTTCTTATACGAACCCACGCAGCTCCCAGCACCAAGTACCCCAACTGGGTTTTGCTGCCCCATTCCTCAGCTCGGATGGAAGTTTGCATTTCCAAAGGCCAAACCCTTCAAGCGTGCTGAAGCGCTGGGAACCAAAGTTGCTGTCTTATACTCAGCCCCTAGCAAGCAGGGCTGTCATTCTCGCTGGTGGAGAGGCGAGAGAGAGGCAGCCTGGGGAAAGGAAAAATGCACGTTGAGCTTTGTTGTGGAAATCCTGGTTACCTGGTAAGTGGATGCCATAGGAACTTCGCTTGCAGGCAAGAAAGCGAGTTGGGGGGAGGGGGAACCTTAAAGATTCCAGAGACCTGTATTAGAAATAGTTTTCCCCGGGAACTGTGCGCGGACGCGCAGTTTCGAGTATTGTGTCTCTCACCCCTATTTCTCAATGAGACAGCAGCTTTAAAAAAATTATATTTTTTTTAAGACAGGGGAAAAGGAATACACTTTTCTTGTCAGTTGGGTAAGAGAGCCCAAAGAGTGAGGGTCAGGGCAGGAAGGAGTGCTCCTGGACCGACGGCTGTAAGAAACTGGAAAGAAAGTAAAGAGGCTTTATAGCAGGCTTGGTAAAGGGGAGGACTCATTTTTTACGGAAAGGACCAGTCGGGCTGTTGCTTAGAGATCAGATCAAGTTAAGGGACTGGAAGGCGTAGTGTATGACAACCCAAAAGTTTGTGTGAAAGAGAAAGTTTGGGGAAGTGGGTATTGATAGGGTGACATAAGTTCATTCTTCAGACATAGGCTATCTATCTGTATCTATCTATTTATCTATCTACCTACCCACCTGTCCACCTGTCTACCTCTGATCTCCTATATAATAGTCTATTTACACCACATACATGTATCATAGTGGCAGGTATGTAGTATTTTGTATACATATTGTTGTAGCAAATAGACCCATTAGGGTTGCTTTATTTAAAATCACATGTTTGTTGATATACGTGATAACAGTGTTGGACTTCCGAGTGTATTTCACTGTGAATATATTCCCATCTATAGAGCTGCTCTGTGTAGGTATCTATACACACACCTGTATCCAGTATCCTTGCATATTACCAGCACACAGACATACTCAGACACAAACACCCTGCTGCATGTGTCACTGAACGTTTACGTTTTGATCGTGCATAGCAAAATGTCAGGACTGTTTTGAAAATGTCTCATTTTTACTCTAAAAGGACTTTGTCCCGCTTCAGTCTCTACAAATTACCCCTGTGTGTTTTTGAAGGAAGTCTGTCCAAGCTGCTCTCCGGAAAGCATGAGTCTGCAGTTCGAGTTCTTGGGCACGCACACACACACTCCACACACATACACACGCACACATATGAACACGCACACTCAAGATTCTGCGTTCTCCCCTCCACCCCCCCCACCCCCCAGCACTGTGGTGATGTACACTTCCAAATTACTCACTTTAGCTGACAAATCGGTTAGGGAATGAAGAAACAACAATACTGTCTGGAAACTTTGGGGACGCGTCTCCTGGTTTAGGAGGATTTGTCATCAAGTAGATGATTAAGTTAGGTACCTGGAGGGGGAAACTTTGGGAAAGTTCATTTCCGGTTTTGTTATCTCCAGGGCATTGGGAGTACCGGAGGTGGTGTAGTTGCCTAGCTGGAAGCAAAAGCCAGGTTGGAGCTCCAAGATCAACGACGTTCCTTTCTTTTTACTGCACTTAGGCACAGGGGTTGCTAGCTCGACTTGCCCCAGTCTGGGGGGTGGGGGTGGGGAGGTGGAGGTGGCGTATGCGCCTCAGAGGTGTTAGGCATTTGGGAAAGGGGAGAAGACTAGGCCCCTACTTTATTTGCTGGTCTGGTCCTGGTAGCCATTCATGAATGTGACTTTATTAAAGGGTTGCTGAGTGAACCCGGAGCCCTCCCGGCAAAGGGCTTATTCAGGACGGAGTTGCACAACAGGAAGCCTGGGCGCTTTTTGTTTTGCTTTGTTGTCCTTTCTGATAGGATGGATTAGTTTGGTTGTTGTGACGAAGGACTAAGAAGGGGATCGTCTCTCTCCCACCCCCCCAACTCCCCCAGTCCACCTCTTCTTCTCAGGCTTGCGTTGCTCTTTACCCCCCCCCCCCCGGCCGCCCCCCCCCCCCCAGCTTGGATTTCCCCAGGTAGCCACGGTGGGGAGAGGAACACTTGCGGAGAAGGCAGCAAAAGGGGATTTGGGGCTACATTCAATCAGCCTGGAAATTGGGAGATGAGAGGCGAATTGGCTTAAAAGGGCCCACTCTCCTCTTTTCCCTTCTGTCCCTTCTCCTTTCAGGTTCCCAGGATAGTCAAGAATTGAGAGACCAGGCTGGATTTACTCCTGGGAGACCTGGCATCCTCCTTGGATGCCACATGCTCAGTGAGCTCTGCTGTTGCTCATCTCTCCTTTCTCCCTTTAGGCATCCTGACCCCATTCATCCCCCTTTCCCCGCAGGCTCTGATCCTGGAATCGCAGAACAGTTTCTCTGACCATCCCTGCTTTGTTGGACGAGGGTTTGTTTTGCCATTCTTGGGTCTCCCTACCTTGACCCTTTTCTTTTATCTCAACCCTCTCTTCTTGCTTTGAGGCACCTCTGCGTTTTTTGTTTTTGTTTTTTTTTTGTTTTTATTTCTTCCAAGGTCGAAGACAGCTTCTCCTCACATTTCAGGTTAGGAGAAGGGGACCGGGGTGCCTGTGTGAAGAGGGAAGTTCTTGAGCTCCCTCCAGCGGTGAAATTACTTCTAGTTTGTGGGGTGCAAAAAAATCAGATAATTTTAGTTTACTGGGTTGATTCACAGGATTGAGAATTGAAAGGGTGCTTATAGATGATCTAGCTCATTCTTCTTATCTTATGGATGGGGAAACTGAGGCCTAGAGAGTTAAAATAATTTGCCCAAGGTTATATATTTGGAAAGTGGTCAACCTAGAATTTGAATTTGAATGACTTCTTTTTTCAACTACCCCCCACTGATGTTCATCTAATCTAACACCTTGTTGCCCCCTCCAACCCCCCATCCTTTTTACAAGCAAGAAAAGGGGCCTCACAAAAATGAATAAATAAAATAAAATTGCTTTCATATCTGTGTCAATAATCCTATGAGTGACCCAGGCCCTGCCTTGTCTTTCCAGGCCCTCATAAAGCACCCTTTCCTGTCTTCCTATCATCCCCATTCTGAGCCAAAGAATAGACTTTTTACACCTCTAGTCTATGAAAATCTTAAATCTCAGTCATTTTTAGGAGTTTCTAGTATTATTTCTGTCTCTTCCACAACCTTGGATTAGTAATGATTTCTACTCCATGCGTCAGTTGAATCTCTCTTTTTCTCTCTCCTTCATTATCTTCCTCTCCTACCCTTAATCCCCCAAAGGAGGCCTGTCCTTTTCCTCAGATTACTGGTATTTTGGGTCAGAAATAGCCACTTCTTTACTTAAATCTTCCTGCTCCTCCCTCCTATTTTGTTTTTTCCTAAGTGGTCCAGGTTCTAACTCTCTGGACTTCTTTTTCTACTGAAACCCTCCCAGACCTTTAAAGTTGCCTTTTACCTGTCTCAGCCCATTAGAATGTAAGCCCTTTGAGGGCAGGGATTACCTTTTAAAATTTTTTTTTATTCTGAGTATATTCCCAGTATTTAGCACTGTGCCAAGTGCTCAACACATACTTGTAGACTTGTGAGAAAACTGTCTATGGCTATTACAATGTAATTGAGGGCTGTCCATGGAGATTTTGGAGACCATTTGGGAGAAGGACAAAAGTGCACAAAAGAATACTGGTATCATTGTGGAAATGATAGGTCACTTTAGAAAAAGTGTAAGTGAATGTTTGATGTTAGGTGCTGTTTGTAAATAAAGAAATAATATTGCCCCATAGGCCAGCTAGTGGCACAGTGTATAGAGTGGTTGGGCTTGGAGTCAAGACTCATCTTCTTGAGTTCAAATTTGGCCTCAGATGCTTTTTTTTTTAGGTGAGGCAATCAGGATTAAGTGACTTGCCCAGAGTCACACAGCTAGCAAGTATCGTGTGCCTGAGGCCGGATTTGAACTCAGGTCCTCCTGACTTCAGGGTTGGTGTTCTATCCATTGTGCTACCTAACTGCCCCCTACCTCAGACATTTCTAGTGTGACCCTGGACAAGTTACTTAACCCTGTTTTCCTCAGTTTCCTCATCTGTGAAATGACCTGGAGAAGGAAATGGCAAACCACTCCAGTATCTTTGACAGGAAAACCCCAAATGGGATCACAAAGAGTCAGATGAGACCGAACAACAATACCTCATAAGTAAATATATCAAATAAATATTATAAATAAATAATATTTCATAAAATATTTCAAAAATGTTTTGTAAACCTTAAAGCACTATTTAAATACTAATTATTAATACTATTATTTATATAACTAAGAACATTCCACAATAGTTTTAAAAATCACTTCTAGGGGCAGCAGGGTGGCACAGTGGGTAGAGCACCAGCCCTGAAGTCAGGAGGACCTGAGTTCAAATCTGGCCTCAGACCAAACACTTGACACTTACTAGCTGTGTGACCTTAGGCAAGTCACTTAACCCCAATTGCCTAAAAATAAAAATAAAAAAATCACTTCTAAAGAGCACTGACCTTCACATATTTCTATAGGCTCATGTTGCTATTCTAGGCTTTTAATACAATAGCGCTAAAGTCACTTTTGAAAGGAGGGAGACATTTGGGGTTGCTTTATAGTCTTTGTCATTTCTATTCCCCGTGGTTTGAATTTAATCACTTAATATTAATTAATTAATATTAATATGACCTTAATCCTTAATAAAAGGATTTGTTCTATGAAGTTTGGATTCAGTCAAAGGGCCACACTTAAGGACCTAGAAGGCCACATGTGGCCTCAAGGCTGCAGGTTCCCCACCTCTGTCCCAGAGGATTATAAACCCCTTGAGTACAAGGACTACTTGTTTTTTGTCTTTGGATTCCTAACACTTACCACAGATCTTTGTGTACTATAGGTGCTTAATAGTTGAATTGCTTCTTGAATTGAATTGTAGCCATTTTAAACATGTTCTCCTTATTTTGTGGTCTGTTAATTTCTTGCCCCAGTCTGACTTACTGGAAGCAGAAATTATGAGATGCAAGTAGAAATAGAAAACTATTGTTTAATTATTGCTCCGTCCTTGATTTGCTACTGGCTAATTAGGGGAAATATTCTTTCTCCACATCTACCCTGGTAGAATTTCAGGAGGTGTTCAGGTCTGGGACATATCAAGTTCCTGGGGT